AATATTCTGCAAATATCTCAACCTTAGCTGTGTCTAATGAACATGCTGATCCGGAAGGGGAAATGATGGTTCCGACTGATGAAGGAGTCTTTCAACCTAGCATTACAGTAACTCCAGAATCTTTTTCTATTCTTAGAAGAAGCAATGTAGTCTTCATATTTGAGATGAAGCTTCGCTATTTTTTTCCTGAGTAAGCGAGAAAGGTAAACATAGCGCGGATTATTTAAGTAATTCCCACTTATGAACAGTCGTTGAACTTGAGCCTCAACCCTTCGTAAATAGTGGGGAAGGTGCAAAGCTCCCTTGGTGATACAGCCGTACGGAACAAAGCGGGAAATAAGGGAATGACAAATATCGGCGAAATAGAAGTAACATTCATCTATAGTCTCCAGAGAGTCAAAAACACGATGCCATTCTATTGAAAGAAGGTGGGAACATATGGCATTATAGTCACCTTTACCGAAATCTGGGGTTCGTTTCCGGTCAGCTTCAAAAGTAGCGCCTGACAAGGAGAAGGATACCATAGCATGATCGGACGTAGAGAAGGGAGCCTGAACGGATAGATTACTTATAAGGGTGGGGCAGTTCGTAAGAACCAAATCCAGGATATTACCGCCACGAGTTGGCTGCAGTACTTTTTGGTCGAGGTTATGAGATTGAACAAAGGAAACAAAAAGCGAACTCTGCCTGCTAAGATGTTTCTGGCTCAGACTCGGAGACGACTGAGACCACGGAATATCGAAAAGGTTAAAATCGCCCAGGATAACAAGGGGAAGCTGATTCTCGCATAGTTCCTCAAGATAAACAAGGAATTCTTCAAAACTTCCACTAGGGCATGACGGACTACGGTAGCATAGGACAAAATACAGTCTGTATAAACGAGAGAGAGACGTACGGTAACACACTGAAGATAAAGAGAGAAACTGAGGGAAGAAACGAGAGAGGAAGGAATAGTGTCCCTGATGATAGCTACCACCCCACCTCCTGAGATACCTCCATCTCTATCGCATCGGTATACAAGGTAAGGATAACCAGCTGACAGGGTACTGTTGTTGATCTTCTCGGGCTTGCACCACGTCTCCGTCACGAAGATACCGGGAGGATTTTGCGATAGAAGGTAGTAGAGATCGGGAAGCTTGTTATTCACAGAACGGGCGTTGAACAGGAAAAAGTTTTCAGGGGAATGGAGCGCCGGAAGGAGCGTTCGAGTTGGTCCGCCAGTTTGAGAGGCCATGCCCTAGGCAGAGATATAGGGAGCTCTGGAAGTGCTGACCGACGATATGTCCGCGGATCCCACAGATGTTCTGGCCGAAACTTGTGATACTTCCTGGAATGTTGGTGTATTGCGATGTGGCAGGTCTCTCGCAGTTTTCAGTTTGTGTATTTGTAAGTCCCGTACCACATATTGGAGCTTCCCTATCCTCGCATTGGCTAACCCCGCTTGCTTGCGTAAGGTTCGATCCAATTCGAGTTCCTCCACCGTGTAATCTCTGCGGGCGTACGAATGAACGAAACGTTTAGTGAGACTCTGTCGACCCGACTTCATGTGACTGAGAAGCCTATCCTTCAAGGCTTGAGTGGGCAGCTCAATCTTTATAATCCGATCGCGGCCATTTTTGGGTCTCTCCTTAGGATAGCGATGAGCCGTTATTTTTCCTTTGGAGAATTCCTCAATGAGCTCATCATCTTCAGAGGAGAGAACAACCTCTCTGAGAGCCGCTACATCGAATTTCCGTGTAGCCACCTCGTCAGGCTGTTCTCCAATTCCAACCCAGGCGATACGCCTGAGTTTCTCATCAATCTTGTCTCCGTCGGCCTTCACCTTTACAATGGTCGAGTACAGCAGGTTCTGGTCCACTGAGGTTGAACCCTGGAGACTCGAGACGCGTTCCTCCAAAGCACCAAGTCGAGATAGGATTTCATTCTGGCGCTTGTTCATCTCATCTATTGTGCCTGTGATTTTATTGAGAGACGACGTAAGTGCTTTTTCGATCCGATCCGCACATGAAGCAAACTGATCAAGCAGCATAGAAGCCCACAGGGGAAGGTCCTTTTCTTGATCCCTGTCCGACGACTTGCGCTGTGATCCTCGAGCCATAACGAATCAATAGGGGCGAAGAAACACAACAGAACCCGCAGAGAAAATTGGCTAAGAACAGAAGCGAATGGTTAGTAACGCAACAAAGAACGAAAGAACAGTAAGAAACTCCAAGAAACCAAAGAAGAGCTTAGCAGATATAAAGAGAGAAAAAAAAACCAAAAAAAAACAAAGAAAAACAGGAAATGCCAAAGTAGACTGTAGAGGAAATCGAAACGCAGCCGCACTCGACGACGACAGAGTTGTGACTCGCGTTCCAAGAAAATGGCCGAAAAAGCCATAGAAAAAGGAAATTGAAAATCTGCTAAAATTTAACAATGAAGGAAGTTATGA